TTCGTTTTGATTCAGAAAAGAGTCAGGTTTATAAAAGTAAGAATCTATTTTACCAACAATTAAAACATGACAGGTTAACTAACATTTATTGTGATGGATGGATCTAGATGTGATGTATGAAAACTGTGTGTGAATGCGATGTTATCAGAACTTCCGTATCTAGGAGAGCTGAGTTCTGGATGTAAAAGAATTTGGTTTGCGTTATGCTATGAAGTTGATTATCATCAAAAACACATCAGACGCTATCTGTGTGTCTACTTCTCTTGTTCTGGAGACCCTCTTAGTGGATCCGAAGGTCGGAGAGGTCGGATGACCTCTGGCACCGAAGGTCCAGTAGATTGACCACAGCACCGACTTCTCCAGTCCAGAGATGTCTCGGGTCACGACAGATGTATGGAACCGCACGTCTGGGACTCTGAAGGAGTCTAAACAATATCAGCTTGTTCAGCAGGAACTGTTTGCGGTATCAGCTTCGCAGGTGCAAAAATATTTTGACGACGTGTCAAAAGCTTTGATGGTTAAAGATGGTTTTGCTTCAGATGGCCGGTCTGAAGCTTTCTCTAGAACTACACTGATGAATCACCAGAGTGATCCAGTGTTAATGTTCTCATGTTATGATTTGTGTAGCCAACCAGAGGTTGACAAGTTTGAGGAATTTTACCAAGACAACTCAGAAACACGCCTTCTTTGATCCGGAGGCTCTGATCTGGGGTAAAGAACTATTTATGTGTCATGAGTTTAACTTAACCTTACGTTGTCCTTGTGTGAGTGCAAATGGTGACGACCTTGTCATATAAACATGCTGAAACATAGTTTAATCAATGTAATCATAACATAACATTCATTTCAAACTTCAATCATTGAATACAGATTAATGAAACATTTGATTATGTTATAATTATTATAAGTAGCAATAAACAAATGTTTATTTACTGATTATCTAGCTTATAAGTTGTGGAAGCTCATATCTGATTTAGGAAATCATTCTTTGATTTAGCAACTAATCTGAGCTGCGAGTGTTCCTCATATGGAGGCATGAAGAATCCTGAAAGATTGGACCTTGAGGAGAGAACATTATGGTTGACAACACGCTATCATGTGTTCAGAGCTGCAGAGAGGCTCTGAGCTCCAGCTGATGGGATGAAGGCAGGCCAATTTAAAGGGAACACATACAGTCTTGTGTCTCCTTTTTGACCAGAAGTTGAATGGTCAAACTGTAACTAAAATCTGACCACTGCTGGATGTTACAATGGCACAGACAAGTAATAAGCTTTAAATATCCTTCTAAGTGACACTGCCTCCTGAACGAGGTTTACTGTAATATCAGAATATTCACACTGTTTAATTTGTTCCAGCGGGTTTCTCTCACGGCAGCTGATGCTGCTGCTCCCGCCTCCAGGTTTGATATCACTCATTTAGATTCCTTATCGTAGGCAAATGTGCAGCTATTCCAGCTGTCTCATTACACTGTGAAATGTCTTATTGCCTCGGTCTAATTATCTTCACAGCTTACCAAAGAAACTCAATCAAGCCTCTGATTTGTTTCCTTTTGTGCTTTTATTGCACAAACATGCCTTGAGGTTCATTATCTGAAAATCTCATGCCTCACAGAAGAGAAAAAAAAGTGATGTTCTTTTTGTTCCGACAATTTTATTCTTAATGTCTCATTATGATCTGAAACACCTCTCTGTATATCTTCATTTCATTCATTACACACTCATAAATCTTTTAGGACTCTCTGAGGGGTACTCCTCTGCTTGTCTTACATAATCTAGACTGGTTTAAATGCTAATTATAGAACAAATGCAATTTTTGTGACACTTTAATTGGTGCTTTGCTAGAGGATTTGCATCCCAGAAACAGAAGGAATTCAATCATGCATAAAGCTTTTTGAGTTTCTGCAAAATAGCAAATTTTCTAAAAGTGATGCACTTTAAAGAGAAAATCATAAAGGTGTTTCTGAGTCATATTATAGTGAAGAGTTGATGGCTTTCACTGACCATTTAAGGCAGGGGTGTCAAACATGCGGCCCGAGGGCCGGATCCGGCCCGCAAGCGGGTTAAATCCGGCCCGCGAGACGGTTGTGTAAACTTTATTTTCATACTTTACAATGTAGAGTGAAAATAAACTTATCTTTGTGAGCAGGTTTTCTCTGTAATGAGTATAAATAAAACAAAGCTGCGCTCAAGGCTCACACAAGAACTTGAATCACATCCTGAAGTTGGCCGCCACTCAGGATGTGACTTCTGATGTTGATGTGCTGGTGAAAGCTAAAAGATGTTAAGTAAAATGAGTCAAATATACTTTAAGCGCTGCATGAAACTGATCTAGCCATGTGATCTGTAAGCTCTTTGAATCACTAAGGAATGTTTTTTTTAATTTGTTGATTTTTTTATGTTTTTCTAATTTTCAAGTACACTTCAGGTGTTGTACTTGTACTACACTGTCCTCAGGCTCCAGCCTTGTTTTATATTGATTGTATTAAAACAAAGAAAACAATCTGAAGTTTTCTATTTAATTTACCGGTCCGGCCCACTTGGGACTAGATTTCCCTCAATGTGGCCCCTGAGCTGAAATGAGTTTGACACCCCTGATTTAAGGTACGTGTTCCAAGTTCAAATAAACACAAAAAATGTGTTTAAAATTAAGATAATTTGCTAATAAATGTCATGCTAATAACCGCTAAGTTTTAGGAAAATATCATCTTTAAGAAATGTTTTTTTAGAGTTAAATTGCAATTTAAGAACACTGTCAAGCCTTTATTGGTGTGTTGCTGCTATAATGGCTAACTTTAACTTGACGTTGAAGACAATTATTAGCATGAAGCTAAAAAACAGTCACATACATTGTTCATGCTGAGCCAAAGCAAACAGACATGCTGACATGAGTTGGGAAAAGGACACAAACAAGAATGGTGACAGAAGTGAGATGAGACATAAGTGGAAGCATGAAAGTGCAGCGATAGAATGGATGGAGACATCCAAGGCAGCTGGGCAATTAATATTTTGCCAGTGTTTGTGTACTATACACCTTGATTTTTCTCTACACTGATGGTGGGCCCATATGGATTTGATTTCCTGTTAGTGTTTTGTGCTATATGGCCAAAGCCCAGGAGCCCAGGCTCAACCAATTCCTGTGCTTCCCTCCCTAGTTTGGCTCCAGCAGATTGTCCTGGTCACCCACTTCTGGGTTGGATCATCTGCCTTTTGTGATCATCCTTCATAGAGGTCCTTGAACCATTCTTGGTCTGACCCCCCCCCCCCCCTGCAGCCAGTAGTGATAGCTTTACTCTGGTCTGTCATGGTTAAATAAATGGAGTTGAGCTGAAACAAGTGAGGCAGCAAATAGCAGTTTGGTAATGTCACATAGCTCAGACCATCTTTAACTGGTTTCTGGAACATTATGAGTTCACCGGACTCTAACCACCTTCACAGTCACCAGATCTCAATCTAGTCCAGAACCTCTGGGATGTGGTGGAACGGCAGATTCCTATCATAGAATCGAAAAGGCTTTTAAATCCACAGTGGGGAAATTCACTCGTTAAGGCAGCACATACACATAACAGTTTCCTGTTGGTGTTTTGCAATGTGTTTAGGTAAATATACACAGGCAGTAGGCTATTATGGTAAATGGCGTGTATTTCTATAGCGCTTTCTTAGGGTTCTACAACCCCCCAATCCCAACCCCACAATCAGTCATTCACACGCTGGTGGGGATGAGCTACAGTGTAGCCACAGCTGCCCTGGGGTGCACGGATAGAGGTGAGTCTGCCATACAGTGGCGCCACCAGTCCTTCTGACCACCACCAGCAGGCAAGATGGGTTTCTCTGGTAGTAGCAAGGACTGAAGCTGCTGCCCTCCAATTACTGGACAACCTATTCTATTCCCTGAGCTACTGCTGTAACCTTCAGCAATTGAAACAATTCTAAGAAGAAACATTTGAAAGGACATAGACGTAAAAATGGACATCCAGGTATTGCACAGGTACTGAATATAGCACTGATGTTAGCGTGAAAAGGGGTAATGTCAGTACTAGTTTAACTGGTACTGGTGCCTAACCCACTCTTACTGCAGCGGGAATAAACTACCCTCAACAGCATTCTGTTTTACATCTGAGATGTCTCAGTCTGCCTCTGAAGGAGCTGTCCATGGTCTCCACAGTGGAAAGCAATGGGTGGGAGGGGATTTTTAAGATGGAGGTCAGCTTCACTAACATCCTCCTTTCACATGTCATTAACAAAATTCGGTGGGCAGCTCAAAACAAAGCTAGTTTTTTTTTTACTAGCTTGTTCAGTCTCTTTCTGTCTCAGTCAGAGCTGGCTGCATCCCAACAGACCACAGCAGAATTAGTGACAAAGCGGACAATAGAGTGATAAAAGGATTTTAGCAGATGGAAATGAACGCCAAAGGACCTCAGCCTCCTCAGGAGGTGGAAGCGGCTTTGGCCCTTCTTATACTGAGCATCTGTGTTGTGGGAACAGTTTAGTTTACTGTTGAGGTGAACACCCAGGTACTTAAGGTGCTTAAAGTGGAGATACCTAATACAGACACTGGATAACAAAACTAGAGCCCGGGGAATCTGAATGAAACAGCTAGGAGAGGAGACATGAAGGGGAGGACATGGAAGGAGCAGGGGAGACAGGACAGAGAACATGACACCCAACTGTAGAGCCGTGATAGTAAAGCACAATATACATACTCTTAAAGGGAGTATACAGTAAATAATTATGAATTTTTTTGTTACTGTTTAATTTCATATAGACATAGAGGCTCCATAAGGCAGCAGCTTACTCGTGTTGCTGAGTTTTGTGGTCTTCTGACAGGTGGTGTCACTCCTACGCGCTGCTAATAGCTCAGACAAGCAGTGCAGATGGTGCGTTGCAAGCTGTGTCTGCCAGCAGTTTTTTTCTTTATATGCTGTAAAATCTCCACTTCTTCGCCTCAGAGAACTGCCTGTGCTGCATCTCCAGGAAAAGAACAGAAACACTCAGATGCTGTGTTTTACGTTTTATATTTTCAGTCACAAATAGGAAATCGTAATTTTGTGTAAAGACTAACAAAACAAAACAGCAAGGCCAGAAATCACTGAAAATAACAATGATGACAACATAGCCGAGTAATTAATGTGCAACAAGTATGTACAACAAATGCAGGGAAAGTCAAGAAATCTGAGCAGAAACGTGACCCCAAAATAATGTTATATCAAGTTACATGTAGTGATTACGCCTTTACACAAAACTTAAAAGATGACATAGTCAAAACTAAGCAGGTGGTTTTAAAGTTTGGTTTAAACGCCATTAAATACTGTTGACCTAAAATTAATTATATTATGAGTAAAGAGAGATTTTTTTGTAGGCAATACTCGTATGTGGCTGCGGGATTAAAGATACCATCTTTATGTATTGTTGCAGGTGACTAACAGCTTAGCTTAGCATCACAACAGGAAACCACAAGATGTCTCAGAGTTTAAACATTAAAACTAATAAATCAGCATTCACTTAATTTTCATCACAAATATGAAAATGTTGTACTTAATCAAAGATCCTTACACAACTTTTAAAAACTTGATTTTATTTAGAATGTTGTGGGTGTTTCCTGTCCCAGGAGGTCCAAACGCCCGTAGAGGCATGACACCATCTCTGCTTCTTAACTCCACGGTGCACACTCCCTCCCTCGTACTCTGCCGTTGTGTTAGAACGGTTTTGCTGGATTAGTTCTGTATCCTCTAACATGGGCGGATGTTAGGTCATCAGAGGCAAGAGATGAACAATAAGCTCTTGTGTTTAAAACAAAAAGAAAATGATCTCACGTGCTGTGGTTGTTTACTGACTGGACTCGGTTTGTAGAAAGAGTTTGTTCCTTCAAAGCTTTCGACCTTAACACAGATGGTAATTTGACAATGCAGTTATTTACACGATGTTTTCTGATTATTTACAAAAACAAGTATCAGCAGCAGCAACACACTGGGGCACATGTGCCTTACAACTTTAGGAACCAGGAACATTCTTCACCTGTGTGTTTCAATACACACTGTAAGAAACAAGCCGCTGAATTTATTTAACCAAGTCATGTCAACTGGTTCCACTAAACCTAATTGTTTAAATGTAGAGCAACACATTGGGATGTTTGATATTATCGGTCTACCATTAATACCTTTAACATTAAAAAAAAATTTAAATGGGAAAATTTTGGTATGGTTTTGTCTTTTAATGACAACCTTTACACACCATACACATATTATACCATATTATATCAAACTCTTCAGATACTTCTATTTCTCGAAATGCCTCAAAATGTGACAGATCTGAGGTAATGATTTTGAGATATTTTAGTTTATTTGTCATAACTTGTGAAGTAGAAATTTGCCCTGTGTAGTGAACATACTCAGTCCTCACAGCAGGTAGCTTACGTGTAGCTAAACGGCTAACAAACGACTAAAACAAAAACAAGTCTTCACCCAAGCCTTGCTTTTCTTATCTGAAGATCTTTATTAATGTTTTATAATAATAACTGCAATATACAGAATAAGAAACAATGCATTACCAATAAACACGCCTTAGCGTCACACTTGGGGAGAAAGGGATTCAGCTGCATAGTCATAAACATGGCACTTTTTCTGTTACTAACTTAAATTGAAGTACTTTTCATTTTTCACAGAAAATTTTCTAAATTTAAGCATTCATGATAGACATGTGACGTTAGTAACCTAAAATGTTTCATTTTATTATGAGAGGGGATTGCAGCATGTATCTGTATTGGTATCAGACATTACTGGGTAATATGGGTAAAAATGCCAATATCAAGCTTCCCTTGTAATATACATTTACTTTTACCATAACATGTAACAATGGATGTTACTCTTTACATTTAAGCAACTAGGTTTAGTGGAATTAGCTAACAGAACTTAAGTTAAGTAAATTCAGCACTTTATATCCTTGCCTACCTTACTTGGCTCGTCTGAACTCAGCAAAATATAAAAATATAATTTTTACTGATGTTATTGGGTGTGTGTGTGTGTGTGTGTGTGTGCGTGCGCGCGCGTGCGTTCGTGTGTGTGTGTGAGACTGTTAATGCTTTTAAACTATTGTTGGAATTTGGGGTCATTTTAATTCTGTAAAGCACTTTGAGTCGCACTTTTGTTTGAAAAGTGCTTCATAAATAAAATCTGATTGATTGACATCTTCCAGGGCAGAGGAACAGAGTAAAAACTGACCTGACTGTGCGTAGGTACTGTTCAAATTACCGGGACACTCAGGGAAGTGGGCATGGACGTAATTTTCACTTTAGAAGTGGAGGGGACATGGGGGGGGGGATCTTTACAGTATGTTCTAATGGGAAACAGGCTTCAACACAAACAGTTGTTTTTTGCTTGGTCCTAGAGCTCAACCAGTGTGAATTTAATATAGCGTAATATTGTTTTTGGATGGTAAAAAGTGCAGGGGTCAAAACCTGACTGGAAAAAGTGAGGGGGGGGGGGGGACATGTCCCCCCCAAAATTACGTCCATGGAAGTGGGCAGACACTGGATACTCTGATTGGCTGGGCGTCCCATGTTGAGTTTTACAACTCAGATTTTGTGCTGCTCTACCAGCTATTTTATTTATTAAAGTTTTGTTTGTTTGAGTTTCTGGGTCTCATCTCCAGTATTTTGGTTCCTAAACATGTAAAAATGTGACAGTGTTATCTTGACAGGATGGTCTGAATGAGCTAATTTTATAAGTGGATTGCTGCCATCTCAAAATAGCGCAGTCATACAAACTTAATAAAAGCTTATGCAAATGTAATTGTATTAACCTTTTTGACCTTTCAGTCATTTCAACATTACAGGATTACTCTGGGAAACATATTTTGGCTTAACTCATTAAATAGAAGGTCAACCCTTGGTAAAGCGCATCTTAGTTCTGATATATATTCTTGGACAATTACCTACATAGGGTGTTTAAAGGTGTGCAGAATTAAGCTACAGTATTTCTTTTAAAAGCTATATTTTAATGAAAAAAATAATCAAATATTTATTTTGACAGGCACAACACTGGGTTTATGGTTTCATCTACCAGCCAATAGAGGGCACCATTGCGGTTGTCAAACAGTACGCTCCGCACAGCGAGGCTGATTCAGTGTAAAATTAGTATTTTATTGCCTTGTTTTCTATTACAAATTAAAGAATAACATTTGTAAAATGAGAAATGATTCTTTGTCGGTGAGGAAATGATATTTACACTTGTAAACAACCACATAAATGTCCTGTAAATAACCATGTAATATGAATTGGCAGCTGCGATGGACTGGCTCTCTGTCCAGGGTGTACCCCGCCTGATTGCCCATTGACTGTTGGAGACGGGCACCAGCCCCCCCGCTACCCTACGTGGTCAAAGCGGGTTCCGACAATGGATGGCTGGATGGATGAATTGGCAGCCACTGCGATATTTTGGAGATTGGAGATGTTTTAAGACAAAGTTAAGCATCGGGATCTAAGCAGCCCTCACAATAGATTTTAATTAATTGATCAACACAATTTCTACAAACTGAGTCTGTTCAGAATACTATTGACATTAGTTAAGATATTTACTGTTACTGAAACTTCAAAACAGCCAAAATATTCCTTTAGGACAGGGGCGGCGTTAGGCCCGGCTACTTGGGCAGAAGCCCCGGATCTAAATCGTGGAAGTAACATGCAGTACCAAAGTCCAACAGAGAGGGAGCAGCTGGCAGTAGTTTGTATACAGCCTGCCTGAGCCTCCACCACTGAAGAAGAAGCCCTTCAGCAGCCGGCTTCTTCTACACTCTCTGCCTGAAACGCATGAGTGAAGATGGACATAAGGACGTGTTTTAGACCAAAAGTACGGCGACAGAACCCCAGCTCTGATGAGACTGGTGCTGACTCAGGTTTGTGAGTCTTATTAGAAAATATTTGTTGTGCTGCTGGTTTGCCTAAAGTTAGCTTACTATCAGGTAAAGTTGTTGGAGAAAGAAAGGGAATATTTACTATCATCTCACACTAAACACTAACAGGAACTATACTCTGCCCTGAAAATGCTTAATATGTAGCTTCAGATTAAAATGATGTGGTACAAGACATATATGATGTTGACTAGTGCGTGTCACGTGTGTGTGTGAGCGCGCGCATGTGTGTGTGTTAAGCCCCGGATCTTCTTCAGTCCTAAATCCGCCCCTGCTTTAGGATAAGAAATCAATAAGTAAACAAAAGACGTCAGTCCTTTTGCGGCTAATAAACAAATTCATTTCAGTAATGGCAGAGACCAAGGGTGCTGGTGTTTAATCCATGGCCCTCTCCTTCCAGAACAATATTAGTCATTTCATTTTAAAGTAAGGATTGAAGTCTGTTTTTGTTCCTGACAAAACCCAGGAGACAACTCTTACTTCCTTTAACTCTGTTTTCACATTTTCTGTGTTCATGCTAAGCTAAGCTTTGCTAGCAAGCTGCGGGCTGCCATGTTGCACCTTTGAGTCAGACTGAAGAGTGGCATCTACCATCTCACCTAACGAGTAACACATTTAAGAATTCCTCCTTAAATCTTTCATAGCTGGGGAAACATAATCGGAATATTAAGACAGAGTTTAGTCCGTATGTATAAACCAGCGTGAGCACATGTCAGTATGTGGGCAGATGCAGTGATGGATCTAAAGCAGTGTAAACTGTCGAAGACATTGTCCCAGCCGTTCACAGAGGTCGGAGGAGAGACTTACTGTCTGTACATGCAAACTTTTATAAAACACAAGTCATGTGAGCAAACCCATCTGACTGTCCGGGGTGTTCAACAAAGTCAGTTATGATAAAATTAAAATCTTCAGGGTTTAACCACGTCAGGTGAGTCACATCAATTTGTCTCCTCCCATCCTAGAATGAGATGAATATGGGATTAAAAAGCACGGTGTGTTAATTGACGTAATAAAGCCAGTAGATAAGGTTGAAAAGGGAGAAGGCAGAGGGGAATATAATCCGAGACCATCTGTCAATGGCGTTCACATCGGTCAGGTCAGGGATTTTGATTTTAAGTTGAGACGATCGTCTCCGCAGACGAGTCTTCTTCAGATATGCGTTCCTGTCCAGGCTGAGGCGACCCGATTCATGTGGCACGCTTGGCTTTCTGTACTGAACCCCCGAGCTGTCAAACACAATGGAGGTGGAGTTGTGGGTATCGCTCAGGGTGGTCGTGATTTCATTACCTCCCACCTCGTTGTGGATCTCCAAGGTTGTCAGCAAAACATTCCCGTGGGAGTCGACCTGGGAATAACACACAGCAGTGACGTTAAAAATGGAATGTGGGCTGAGGCCTCAGTGGTTAATGACACACGCAAAGCATACGTCAGGGCTCCCGGGCTGACCTCTACCCGTAGGCTGACAAATTACAGCATGAAACAGAAAGGAACCTTCAAAAGCAGATTTTATGTCTAAAAGTCTGATAACTTTTACTCACACTTACAAATCAGCTCAAGGTTGGACTGGATGCGTTTAACAATGATGGCATGACAAGACAGAAACTGGTGAATCTTTATTTTTTAGAGGCATGCAATACTTAAGAGACAATCTGTAGTTTTTATAGTTAATCTCTGGAAATATCCATTGGAAATTATGTCCAGTCATTGAAAACTATTGGCAGCTTCATACCATAGATCCACAAAGATAGAGTCTAAAGCACACATCTTTGGGGGACGCCATATTTGACGACATGTTTTCTTCTGGTCAGCTTGGGGTCCTGCGCCTGTCGATTCATGTTACAGCTGTGGCTGTTTACCTCAGAAAACAGACGCTGCAGAGGACAATCAGTGCATTGCCTCCTCCTCCTACCTGCACAGCTGCACTCACTTGGGCTGATCACCTCCTGAGCAGCAGAAAAGGGAGAGCTGCCAGGAGGAAGGGGGAGACTGCATCTGTGCCAATTCTCTCATGTGCTCCATTTATTGGTGTTTTAATGGCTTTTAAATGGGTTTTAGTTCTTTAAGCTTAGAGAAGCTTAAGAGCTTTTAGAGGTTTTTAACAGACGAGGGACCAGAGTGCTGGTTACCTCTTGGCTCCCAACCTTGTGTTTAAGTCAGTGGACTGTGTGTGTGAATGTTTGGGAGCATTCGGATGTCTGTTTTAAACGTAAACCCGTGGCTATTTTACCAAGTATACCATCACCTGTCTTCTAGTCCACGCTATCACCATTATTTTAATTGGTGTGTGAGCGTTTGTGTTAGTGTGTGTGTGTGTGTGTGTGTGTGTGTGTGTGTGTGTGTTTTACACAATTAAACCGTTCCACTTCATGTAGGCTAGGAACGTTTCACCTGCCGTGGCCCGACCGCTTCTGCTCCACATAAACTTTGTGCGTGACCAAATGTCTCTACAGGTGCTTTCTGAGCTGAAGAGGCTATTCTGCCTCAGACTGGATGCGTCATGCGTCTCCATATTAGAGACGGGAACGAGCGCTGTTCAGCCAAAGTTTCATAATCAGAGAACATTTTTCCAAGTGACACATCCCTCAGAGAGACCGGCTTTCCAGACCGCTTCAGTGGGAGGAAATCTTACCGCATCGCCGTGGTTCTGCACTGCGCTGCGAACCCCTCTACAGATCTTCAGCCCACTGTCCACCGTGGGCGCTCCGAGCCGCGCTGAACACAGTGTCCAGTATGTTCTGATGGGAATCATTTCCTGATTGATTTAGTTACCTCCGCGATGTGCATAACGATTAAAATGTCAGCTCATCTGTGTGTGCGTCAGTGTGCGTCGGGGTAATTCTTTCAAAACAACCAACATCCTTGAGTTTATCCGTCAAAATAAAAGTCAAATGGAAATATCTGTAACCTGCCATTTAACTGTTTTGCCTTCTTGGGAAGATTGTTGCAAAGAGAAACAACTAAACGTGATTAACCCCAGAGCCATGCGCACTGCGCTGTACTGACTGTAAATGGGGGGGAAACGTGATTTAATCGGATCCTTTTCTTTTCAACATGGTTTAATGTAAAGTTTCATTCAGTACAAACTTTAGTTACACCGATCTAACGAGACAGAGCCTGGATTTGTATTCTGAACAGTTTAAACATGTTTAAAACGGAGACGCGCGTGATGTGTTTAAAATTCGCACCTGCTCTGCTATTATGGAAATTAAACTAACAAGAAGAATAACATGAACTTATTTTAGGCACAGACAACATCCCCCACACTTTTGAAAAGCTTGCAACTCGCCTGCACATGCATACAGTGTTAACAGTAATAATGGAGCTAGTGATGGCAGAGAAGTTGTGATAAGACCAAAATTTACACGGCAGCTGTTGCAAAGTTTCAGAAGCGGGTTCACAGACGAGACACAGGAGGCAGTGACAGACACTCACCCGCTGTGAGTGACGGCGACCCTGATTGGACTGTTTAAGAGATGAGGACTTGAAATTGATTCCCTCCAGGATGGACTAGCCATGGGAAAGACAAACACACAGTCATTGGTCTGAGTTTGGGTCAGGTAGCAGCTGAGGTTCTCACTGAACCTCACATTAAGAAGTCAAAGAAATTATAACATTAAAGACTCACCCCTTCTTTTCACCGGCCACGAAAGCGGTCATGTAATGTAATAGCGGCGTTTTACCCGCGAGTCAATTCCCACGGGGAGCACATCTGATGTGAAATGGGGGCAAAAGCATTCCACAGAGCTAGTCCTGTGATGTCACAAAATCACACTACATGTGATTTCAGAAGTGCGCAGCAACAAGCAAGAAGAAAGATGGCTGCACGTATTAAAAAGGTCTGTGGTTAATGTATGTTCTGTTTGCATCGGCTACGGGGGTTTTAACAGGAAATTACCTTTACTTGCATCCAACTTTTATCTTAAAAGTTTCTGGATGTTTTACACTGCTTTTGCGTTTGACTTCCTGTCTGCAAAGTTTGACATGTTTTGGAAACGTAGTGCATAAAAAATACACTCGTAATTTAATGATAGCAAGCCCTCGCTTCTGGGGCGCGTTACGCGTTGCTGCTGGTGGAAAGGAACTCAACGACGGCTAATTGCGTTGCACTAAGTTTTGCATCCGTTTCGCGACACTTTCATGTGCGGTGGAAAGAGGAAATCGGAGTCACTGTTGGCAGCAGTTAGATAACAATGTACCTTCATTTTGTAACTCATTTCAATAATCAACTGATGACAGTCTAATCCACATGTATGTAGTTTTTATATATCCAACAAAAAACATCACATACTGTACAATTAAAACACGTTAAATTCCCATCAACACCCTATTCTTATTACACTTTTTAAAAATGACCATTTGTATTTTCCTGGAAAATACTCATTTAAACCATAAAACCATTACAGCATTGGTTCTCAGCCAAAGGCCCACAACCTTTCAAGGGGGTTCCCACAATTTTGTCTCAGGTTACCATTTCAATTATAAAATCCAAGTAACATAGCTCATTGTATGTTCAAAGCTCTTAATAAAAGGTATAACTCCGTGTATCTGTACATAGTTGAATGACTTTTATAGGAGTTGGGCTTGGGCCGGGGATCCTTGGCTTGCTTTGGATACAGGCTAGCTGCAGAAACAGTCGTGCTCGGGAACCATTTAGTGGTTTAAGCCCCCGATTCAACCCCTTAAAGAAGGGAGGCACTGAGTCCCATTTTGCTAAATTCTTTGGTATGACCCAACCAGGATTTGAACCCTGATCTACACTCGCAGGGCAGACCCTCTAGCACTGGGTCACTGAGTGGTAACAGCTGCAGGTCCTCAACATGAAACTCACTCACCCTTGTCTCTACTGGAACACCTACAATTATTGGTGTCTGAATACGTTTGGTAATCTAGTGTGTAATCTAGTGTGTAATCTAGTGTGTATAGCTCCAAGTTACAAGTTTTAAAGAGCATTTAACAAAGATTGTGTTCTTTATAAAAAGACTGTCATTGTAAATATAATTTAAATGTTCTTTATGAACCCTCCTCAGTCTGATCTGTTGGACCATGTTCATCTGCTTGTCCAATCATTATGCTGTCATCTGATCTGCACTATAATGACAAATCAATAAAATCTTAATCAGAAAATACTTTAAAGTAAAACTTTGATTAGCATTTTAAACAGGAAAAATAATCAGTGAAAAAACGGTGAATCATTTGTGAACTAATACTACGTCTTTCTACTCTTAAACACATCTCTCAGGGTTGGTCTCACCTTGGGTCTGTCGAATCGATTGCGCTCGTTATTCGCCTTCAGCGCCTTCTCGGACAGTTTCTTCTGCATCTGAGGACCCCGTCCAAAGAAGATGTAGTTGACAAATGCATATTCCAGCAGAGCCAGGAAAACGAAGACAAAGCAGCCCATCAGGTACATGTCTATAGCTTTGACATAGGGGATCTTGGGTAGTGTCTCCCTCAAATGAGTGTTGATGGTTGTCATGGTGAGCACAGTAGTGATCCCTGGAAGAAAATAAAAACAATTCACTCATTATGATAAGGAAATACTACACTTATGATCATGTGATCACTTAACGCCTTGAACACTTTCCCCAAATCCACAAAACACATGTAGATTCATTCACGCACCCTCCAGGACCCCCCTAAGGGTATAGAGCTGGTCCAATGTTCCACGGCCAGGTGAAAACCACATTGCCCCTCCTGAATCCGAGGTTCGACAATCCGCCGGACACTCCTCTCCAGAACCCCAGAATCCTCTCTAGCCCTTTGATGCATAACGGTCACTACAGTGGACAGGTACTCAAATTTGTTATTTCTTTATTTTTGCTATTAAGCACAGCTGATGAAGACTTTATTGCATGTGAGCCCCTCCATTTGGACTTCAGTAAGTCAAGCCACCATATTTCATGTTCAGAATGCACGCTGTCCACTGAGATGGACATGTAATAAATTATTTGTAGATTAACAAAATGTTACAAAAAATATTTGTTGAAATTTGTTTCATTCACACGTAAAGATGGATGAAAAAAATTGTTTAAAAAATCATGGTTGAAGATCTCATAATTCATGCATCAGAGGGCTAGAGTACATTATTCGTGCCCAGTATTTCAGCATTTGAACTTAAACTGAGAGACCATCTAAAGGCTCAAGAACTGAGCATTTTGAGTCTAAAATATTGAACCTTTCACGATATTCTAATTGTCTGACATTTTGAATTTGACGATTTCATAAGCTGTAAGCCAGAATCATCACAATTACAACAAATAAAGGTTTAAAATATCTGTCTTTATAAGGAATAGGCCTATTTCATTTATTAATTTCACCTTTTAAGTTGAATTACTGAAATAGCTAAACTTTTGAATACTTTTCTAATTTTTGAGTTTTACCCAAATGCATTATAAAACAAATCACATGATTGCATAAAAATGTGTGATTTGTTATTTCTGTATCAACTGATCTTTATTCTTTAACTGCATGAAAATATCTTACCTAATGCAACTCTGGCAGCTGAGGCGTCATAATTTATCCAGAACGACACCCAGGATAAGATGGTGATGAGGATTGAGGGCATGTACGTCTGCAGGATGAAGTATCCGATGTTTCGTTTCAGCTTGAAGCTCAGAGACAATCGAGGATAGGCACCTTCAGGGTCAAGCATGAAGAAAAGTCAGCTGACCGTCCTTAAAGAGGGTCCTGGTGATGTGATCTATCTATTTATAAGTCTGATTTTTAAAAAGTTTGACTTGACAAAGATTAGATAAAAGTTAGAGTTAACTGAAACAACTCAATTCATAATAAAAAAATAAAACAACGTGTTAAAAGTTCCTGTAGATAGTTGTGAGATTGCATTGAGCACAGAGGGTGCATAGTGAGCATTTTTACCCCCTGAGAGAACAGTAATTATCCTACATTGTATTAATAATTCATCTGAAAAACCTCCTTTTTCTTGTATTTACAAAATAGCTCATTGTGTAGATTCTGCCAGATGAACTCATAACTGCACAGATTTATTTATTCATCAGCAGACGGGTGTTTGCTTTTTGTTGTCACTTTATTTCAGACGAGATCTGGTAATTAGGAAAATTCTGCTTATGTGAGGAAAACATTTAAATATTGGGGGTTCTACATATTTATGGTGTTCATGAGTTAAAACAAAATAAAAACCTTACAAAAGGAAGAAGCAGCACGGCATACCAAATTTAAAAAATATCTAAAAGCCATAAAATCAGATTTAATCCATAGTATTAATTTAAAAATTATCTAGGAATATTTCCTATCTGTTTCCCCAAATTTTACAAAATGACAGTAAAGGGAATTCCTGATATACAAAGCATACATTTTATCAAACATTTATTATTATTGTGGCTTTTTAATCCCCAGCATGCAGTAAAATGCTGCAGAGTTACAAAATTATCTCAGCTCAAGCATCTCTCTCTCTCTCTCTCTCTCTCTCTCTCTCTCCCTCTCTCTCTCCCTCTCTCCCGCTCTCTCTCCCGCTCTCTCTCTCCCTCTCTCTCTCCCTCTCTCCCGCTCTCTCTCTCACTCTCTCTCTCTCTCTCTCTCTCTCTCTCTCTCCCTCTCTCTCTCCCTCTCTCCCGCTCTCTCTCTCTCTCTCTCCCTCTCTCTCTCCCTCTCTCCCTCTCTCTCTCTCTCTCTCTCTCTCTCTCTCTCTCTCTCGCTCTACTTCTGGCTTTTATCACTGACTATAGCGAGCACATTTTTCAGGACTGCTGTGACTATAAAAATGAATGTTGGGTGCATTATATTTTTGTCTGGAAGACTATAATCAGTTTGTTCCATATTTGTTTATTCCTTATGCAGCAGGTGTAGCACTCTTGATAAAATTTCCTAAAGTGAAAAAGATTAACTATTAAACTTTCGACTGTTTTAAAACGGGTATTAAAGTAATATCAATAATGATGAATTTAGACAACTGGGGCTTTCTTTTACTTGCCTGTGGAAAAAACCACGTTCCTGGAGACCAGTTTGTAGTCAACTATGGAGAACTGAGGAAGCTCGATCCGAGTCACCCCGGTCACAGCACTGTCCCCTCCTTTCCAGTAGAACTCTATATCATCTGTTGTGTAACCATCTATGAGACAATCAGCCAGGAGGTGAGATTCTTCTGAGAGAAGAAAGTACCGAACATGCAACCAACACAGTTTGGTAGAAGGACTCATTTATCTTACGATTTCAAGTAAGTGTTATGAATCAGCTGACGGATGCAGGTGAGATGCATGTGGCAGTTTGGGTGACTCCAGGCATGCATGGATGTATACCTGTCAATATGTTTCTGGCAGCTCAGATGGCCAAACGTGTCACCATGACTGATGACGTTGGGCCGATTATTAGCGTGCTCTGCTAAAGAAATGACTAACTGCTTAAATCCAGTCTGTGTGGACAAAGTAATTTCAACTGAAGATGGTGCAGTGAGCAAATATGCTGAGATATGACAAGTGAATAAATCCACAGCCATTCAGCAGTATGTGCAGTTTTGTGCATGAGATGAAGAGTGTAAAAACTTCTTTATGAGGATTCCACGCTGCTCGTAATTTTAAGTGATGGGGAAGTGAGGCCCTCTGCTGTATTTCTTCACTGAGCAGAAGATATGAGGCTGAAACGTACAACTCTCAATTTCCAGGGTGCAGTTCTGTTCATCCAGAGGGTATCGCCTCAGATCCATCATGCAGGCTGCTGTTGTTGTGATTCTGAATCAGAAGAGAAAGAAAAGTTAAAATGTGGTTTGAATCATCAAATGGGATTTTGATTTATGATTAAAAGATGAAAGTTAAAGCTACCCGACAGATTATGAAAGCCAAGAAGACGATTAACGTAAGAGCCAGCCATGCATATTTAACCAGTAGATCACTGTGAAGCAACAACTGGCAACAAAAGGGTTTAAAGGGTTGCCCTGAGTAAGTCATGTCATGTTTAAAAGATCTGCGCAAAAAAATTTCTCAACAAAAGTAACAGTTATTGTGAAGAGAAATCCTCCACTTCAAGTAACTAGTCCGAGGCAAAGGAATGTTTCTGTCAGGAACGGGCCGGGACAAGAATTCAAGCTGAGAATTTGCTGTCATTCCTGCACAGACTAGGAAGTGTGTTGCCAGTTCTCCATCCGATCAAGGCTTGTGTGTGTGTTTGTGCATGTGTGTGTGTGTGTACTTGTCTTTATATGTTTACGTGGACAATGTTTGACTTTTAACCTGTAACATGAGGACATTTCCACATTGTGGGGACATGTTGCTGGCCAACACGATGCAGACACTGGGTTTTAGAGGCATGGTGTCAATTAGCTTTCAGTTTAGATTAGATTAGGTTAAAGTCAGTACAGCATTAGTTAGGGCTAGGGTTAGGGTATGGCTTAGGCCACTTTGTTTCCCAAGGATTAGGGTTAGGGCGAGGACCCCCTGCTCTGCATGTTTCCCATGTCTCTGCTTCAGAGCACCTGATTTATATATTAGCATTGCCTCCTTAAAAGGACATCAAGTGCTGCAGATGCCTGTTAACCACTCATTCTTTAAGTCAGGTGTGTGACAGCAGGAAAACACTGGTGCTTGAAAAGGCAGCATGGAAAACATGTAGAGAAGTGGGTCCTGAGGACCAAAAGGGAAAATCCTGGATTAGGCATAACAATAATAATAATAATAATAATAATAATAATAATCATCATCATCATCATCATCATCATCATCATCAAACTTATATAGCGCTTTATTAGGACACTCAAAGATGCTTGTGTGAACTCTCACATTCACACACTGCCAGTGATGTAAGCTACTTTGTAGCCACAGCCGCCCTGGGGCAGTCTGACAGAGGCGAGGCTGCCATTTGGCGCCGTCGGCCCCTCTGACCACCACCAACGCAGGCAAGTTGGGTGAAGTGTCTTGCCCAAGGACACAACAGCAGGATACCCCTGGAGGGAGCTGGAATCGAACCCAGGACCCTCCAATCATGAGGCAACCCGCTCTACCACCTGAGCTACTGCTGCCCGTAGAGTCACTAAATGCAATGGAAGTCAATGGAGGTCCACACAAGTATGTTTTGTGTGTGTGTGTGTGTGTGTGTGTGTGTGTGTGTGTGTGTGTGTGTGTGTGTGTGTGTGTGTGTGTGTGTGTGTGTGTGTGTGTGTGTGTGTGTGTGTGTGTGTGTGTGTGTTTGTTAGTCTGTGTTGTTGTTAATCTGTGTCACTGGTGCAGCTCCGCCCACTCAATCTGCCAGGCAACACCTCCTTTTTGATGCATTCTTTAAACAGGAAATGTGGGTGGAGTAAGACTCTGGTAGGAGGGCGACTTTCTTTTTGGATCAGTGCTTGACTTGCCATTTAACAGGTTAATGGGACACTTTGCAAAAAAACATGCAGCTTTGAAAACATTATTGAAAATGATGGTAGACCAACATTTTCCTCATTCTCTTTTTTCATCTTAATCCACAAGAAAACATTCATGCCTCAGAATATCCTAATTCTAATGGAAGTGTTGAAACTCTTGGGAGAAGACAGAGGAACTTGGAAAATAAATACTTTGGTGCAACCTCATAAAGGGTTCAGACCTGAGTCCATATAGAACCGTGCCATCCGGATGTAGCCGAATCATGCGGTTCTTAACCGTGACTCCATGCACGAAGGACTTTTTGTCATTTAGGAAGTAGGTGTCTGGGACCCAGAGCTGGTCTGCGACTCTGTTGTCCAGGGTCAGGTTGAGCGGGATCCCTGCATAGGCCAGCCTCTTGTCTCTCCAGTACTGCTGGAAGTACATAGTCAGTGTGTAGTCCTGTGGAAGGTAAACGATTGGTTAAACTCCCACAGACCGAATCGTGCAGCATGTTATATAAATAATTAACTCTGTTTCATGTGTGAAAATCTCTGCAGCTGTCAGTATTCAAGCTGATAGCATGCCTTGAATAAGAGCATCAAGTCCAGCACTTGCCTGCATCTTCCAGCAAAAACAAAAGTGATGTTTATGAAAGTATGGACACTCTGCTCCAGGTGAGCAAACTCAACAAGAATCAGATGAACGCCAACTTTAGCTGCAAATACATCAATGATTTATTAAGCTTTCACTTGCAACAAACTTCACACACTGATCCATCAAATGAAAGAGCTTTTCCAGAGTTTTAATGGATCTCTTTACAAGCTGGGTTGGTGTTGTTCTGCTGACTAATGTTATCCTAAATAAATAAACAGGTCACAGGAAATGAATAAAAACACGACTAGGCAGAAAATGTCTACTCAAAGGTAAATTTATCTTAAAAAGGACTAGATTTGAAAATCAAAACAACAACTGCTGACCTGATTTAGACCAAAGAGCTGATATATTTTACACAAACACTCTTACAAAATACATCTGCACAAATTCTTTAAACTGTTAGCTTGTTTGGTGCTGAGTGGATTTAAACTGAGAAATGTGACTCTGATTTGATCCAATACATAATTCATGGTGTACAAAAGGAACAAATGTTTAGTCAAATGGGAGCCAATTTATCTAATTTTCTTTCTGGTTTAAAAAATTCCCTTCCCTTCTAAGTGCTCTCACCCCATTTCTCTCCCACCTTCCATAAAGAGTAGCTTTGGGCCCACACAGCGCTGACGTGTGGGTTGGTGAATCCGTTTCCTTCGACAGCTCCTACATCCTGCTGCGATGGAGCTTTACTA